TTGGTTATATTCATTTTTTTTTATAAAGATAGATGCAATAAAGATTAAAAGGAAATATTAAGTAACTCTTCCTGGATAAGGCCCTGAATTATCAAGCCAAGAACCCAATAATAACTGTATCCACCATCTATTAACAAGGCAAACCAAAAGTGCAATACCATTATGCGGAGGCTTTCCTAATTCTAAAATGTATGCTGAAGGCGAAAATTAAAACCATATTATTTCTACTAAAACAGGGCAAGTTTTATTAAATCAGTGGTGGCGACATGGTCGTCGAAACAAAAATAATAATTTGCCTATCCAAATAACATTAGTTTGATTGCCAATCCGTAAATATTTTGGTCTAAAAGCACAATTTGGCCGGGCCATAAAACTCTCCCCGTGAACGGTCGACCAGGGATTTTTATTCCGGACTTTAACCGAGGCTTTAGTCGGCCTCCTATTGGTTCAAACTTGTTTTATATTTTGGACTCCCCTGTTGGCAAATTTCGCCACCACTGCATCAAATAGGCCTACGCATAAATAAGAGAGAGTGAGAATGGTGGACGGTGGTGCCGATTGGCCAAGAATGGCAAATTTTCTTTCCGGACCTCTGAGACAACTTTCAACTAAAACAAATTCCGAAGGTTTTGATAAGTTGATACAGTATTTCAAGAGGAAACAGGGCAACAGTTGTGGCAGAGGCCGTATTATTTCTCCACTCTCTCTTCCGTCTGAATCGCCACTATTTGCATCGGAGCCGTTGCTGACTAAAACTGCAAACTACAATTCCGGTACACACCTGGATTGTCTGCTGGCGGAGGGGGTGGTGGTAAAGGTTGTCCTGTACGCACAGCTACGACAGCTTTCCGTGCATTCCGTATTGCAGATATGAATTCACGATGCCTTGCCCGCCAATTTGTTCTCGGAATTCCTGCCTGGAAAAGTGGAACAGAACAGAATACATACCTACACACATCAACTTAATATAATTATAGAGAACTTTAAATTTCTTTCATTTATTTTAATCCCATTTACACAACGTATGACTCGCCCAATACCGGGCACACACCACATCGCCATACAGCCAAAATTGTCTGCGCTGGCGTCTGCCGGGGACCAGTCCGCCGACTTAACATGTTTCCATAAAACACAGTTTTCATCGCAATGATTGAACTTCGTAGCTGTCCACGAGTAATAGAAAAGGCTTTCCAACTCTACCGACCAAGCAACGTCGCCGAAAACGACCACAATACCGTGTAGCGATTTTATGGAAACCAGCCTTTAGCAGAGCGTCACGCGCCGCGTCGTCACGTCTGGCGGTGTCTATCGACCAACGCCAACGCAATAGCGTGCGCCGAGGTTTACAGAATTGAAGTGATGCTTTACATTAGGCTATATTTATTTATTTCTATTTGAAATCTTATATTTTAACAATCTGTTATCAAATAACATAAATTCGCAAACCTTTTGATGTTGACATGTTTTTCTTGTCGCCGAATACGGAATATCAGATCCGCTTGACCGCTGCTTGCCAGAGTCAAAGGTTTCTCGTCTTCTCTGAGCCTTTCTGCAAATTGATTCATGCTTGCTCTAATAAAAGAAGTGCACAATATATGTAAAGAAGTAGGTGGTAATGTATACTTCAAGAAGTCAATAAATAGGGCCTATGGTTTATGCTGAAATATTTTTTATACGACTGAATAAAGGAACTTTTCGTTGAAGGGATGCTTGATACGATTACAACATCTTGTTCCTATTCGAGCACTGTTATCATTATTATTATCCATCTATTTGCTTATATTACGGTGCTACGCAGCAAACCTAATTTTGAATATCATATA